ATATATATTTTTTTTTTTTTTTTTCTTATGTTTTGCGCACCATTTTTTAGTAGGGACTAATTTCATTTCTCTGAACCACTCAATTGTTGCCTGAAAATTCGGAAAATTGAATTATTGCGTCTTTATTTAACATCTTAAATAATGAAATGGAATATGATTCCGCAATGTTATCGACAATTATCTTTCCTGACGCAATGTTATATAAATAATTGTCCGGAAAAATCTATAACTCCGATAAGAAAAATATGTTACAAGTAGCGCCATTATCGTTACGTAAAATATTTCGTAATATACGTATAGATACGTATAAATCGTATAATATTCCGATCATTCATAGCGCGACTTCTTCTTTCACTGAAAGATAAGTATCTTTGTTCATGTCGCTTCAAATAATGTATTTTACAAGATTTAAATTATGGTATTTAAATTAGTGTCATTACACAGAGTTGTCCATGATCAGGGGGTGATTTAAAAATTGGACAATTTCATTACTTTCTTGAAAATCCAATAACATCTAAAGGACGAAACTTTTATTTTTAACAGACTTAAAAAAAAACTTTTTTTAACCGAATGTAAAAACGATTTCTTAATATATAATTAAAAATTACGAAATAAAATATCAGTAAAAAATAAACCACATCTAAGAACTTTAAAAGCCCTAAAAAGCATGAAATAATTTTTAATTAATATTCTTATGTACCTATAATCTTATCCTAATATTCTAACGATATTAGAAGTCGGTGTAAAGAAGACAAATTAACTAGGTAACTAACTATATAACAATAGGGAGATAAATAATGAAAAAGATATAATTATTGATTCAATCAGACAAATTTTTACACTAATTTCTAATATCGTTTTTCGATACATTTTCTCTCTATGTAACTTCTATATAACCTGATTAATTATTTGCCCGATAACAATAGATTATAATCTTGTCACGAAACGCTACTTAAGAGCATTTTTCTTACAATTCTACGTGCAATGATGGCACTTATAAACAATCGTGGTGTCGACCATGCAAGTATCAATTACAATGTCTCTACCGAGACAAATCGCACGATATTCCGACTACTAATTTGACATGACTTGACAACATCGTCGCAATTTTAATATAATAGATGTAGTCTGCGAGAACACGCATCCAGCACGCTATTATGATAAACTTGATTCTTGGACTTGAATGTCAATATGGCATTTTTTCTAGTTCTCAGAATGTCGAGTAGCTATCGTTTTCGAAGCAGCGCATGTTAGATTTTATTGCGTAATGCGTCGTTAACATTGTTGATCAGTTTTACGCTTAGATGATTTTAAAACTAAGATGATTTTAAATCTAAGCGAAACACTTCTGTCGATTATGTAACGGCAAACTTGAGATTAATGATTTTAATATATATATATATATATATATATATATATATATATATATATATATATATTTTTTTTTTTTTTTTTTTTTTTTTTTTTTTTTTTTTTTTTTTTTTTTTTTTTTT